GGAGGGGAGCCCGCGGGGGAGGGGAGGGAGGGAAGGAAAGTTCTAAGAAAAAAAACCGTTGAGAGTTTCTGGCCCGGCTTTTGTGAATTGTCCCTCCCCCCCCCAGCCCCTGGCAAGTTAAACACGCCCCTCCCCCTCCGTGTATGAATGCCCTTTGCCACCCTGGGAGCTGAGGGAGGGCCATCCTGACGCTCCTGGCAGGCTGCCCACGCACCAGCATTGGGCCTGCTCTTCGCTGGCACACAAAGGCACATGCCAGGCGGGACTCGGTCTCCCTGTTTTTGGGGGGAGAAGGAAGACGGGGTGGGAGAGGTTGCACAGCGGTGGCTTGGGAATGAGCCCTGTCCCCTGGGGTGCCCCTCAGGCCAGGGGCAGCCTCTGCCAGGCTGAGCTGGGGAAGGGGAGGCGGGGCTGGCACTGCCACCGGCAGGAAGGGAATGGGGTTCGCTACCACTGGGAGGCCTGGGCCTGCAGCTGCCCGAGGCCTGGAAACCCGGGCTGGTGGGGGACCTGCTGGGGGGTCTTCAGCGAGGGCAGGGCCAGGAGGAGCCTGGAGCCTTGGCCAGGGGCAGCGGGAAATGGCAGGCCACCAGGAGCTCAGGAGGCCCAACCTGGTGCCGGCCCCAAGGGGGTCCAAGGGTGCCATTTGCTGAGCTCCACGGACATGCTGGTGCCATTGAGCACCTGGTCCCATCAGACCCCTAGGCTCCCTGGCGGCAGAGTCGGGGGTTCTGGTGGCAGACAGCTCATCCCGGGTGTGGCTGCTGCCCAGCTCTGTGCGGGTGCCGGAACCAAACTGGGGAGAAGGTGCGGCCTAGCAGGAGAGGGGGTACAGCCAGCAGGAGAGAGGGTGCAGCCTGCAGGAGAGGGGGTGCAGCCTGCAGGAGAGGGGGTGCAGCCAGCAGGAGAGGGGGTGCAGCCTGCAGGAGAGGGGGGTGCAGCCCAGGAGGGGAGAAGTTCAAGGACTACACCAACGGGCCTGGCCTGCACGTGCAGTTATCCTCATGACACTGGGGGTGTGGCCTGGCACTGAACGGTGGCACTGAATGGTGACTACGATTTAAGGTGGGCCGCGTCTATGATGAGACCTGCACACAGGATTCAGGGAAGACCAGATCGGTCCCTCCGTCCATGAGCCCATCGTGGGCTCCTGAATCCAGGCACCTGCCCACACGAACAGCAACTTCTAGAACGTACCCAGAGGGCAGAGCAGATGTGTTGGCAGTGCCCACTCTCCTCCCCACAGCCCTGCCCCTGCCCAGGGATCCGCCTCCTCTTCTGCGAGGACCGAGAACCGCCCTCCAGGAGGGAGCCTGGGTGCTTCGGGAGCCCTGACTACACCCACAGGCTGTGTGCTTGTTTATTTCTTGTTACCAAAGAACTGAAACTTCCCCGTCAGACCCCTAGGCCTTCGAGTGACTCCTGGCTCAGGGCCTCAGGGTGACATGAGGTGGGGACAGACATGAGGTGGGGACTCTACACTGAACTGAACCGCCTGCCCGCCCCTCTGGAACACCCAGCGGGCACCCCGCCATGGGCACCCCCGCCATGGGCACCCCGCTATGGGCACCCCCCTCATGGGCACCCTCCCATGGGCACCCCATGCATGGATTGACCTGGGCCTTGTCCTCTGAGTCACTGAGGATGACACGGAGACAGGAGGCCGGCAGGACTAGCCCATGGTCCTCCCAGGGGTCCGTGCGGCTCGCTGCTTGTCTGAGAAGGTGCAGACCCGGGAGGAAACGGGGCCGAAGGTGGTTCCGCTCGGACAGAAGAGGACGCTTCCTGCCGCCGAAGTTCAGAACCACCCGCCCCGAGCGCTTGGCTCTGCCTTTGTGTGACC